TATATTTTGAGCTCAAAAAGTGTGTTTGTGTTCGGCTCGTTTGCTTAGCGAGCCGAGCACGAGCCGTTCACGAATAAAGAGTCGTTTTGACAACCCTAATCACATAGCCATAAGATGTTAAAGACTGGGGCAAAATTTAAAACATCAGTTGAATCTAATTTAATAATTTTTATTCTATTTTCTTAATTAATACTTTTAATTGATTATAAATCGTTGTAGTCTTGTAGTCAATTAATTTTTTAAAAAAATACTACTCATATATATATGATTGATTAGTAGTATTTCAAGCCAAAACAAGCCGAACACGAACGAACAAATATTTGTTTGTATTCGACTTGTTAACTTAGCGAACGAGCCGAACATGAGCTTCTTAATGAGCCGAGCACAAGCTGTTCGCGAACAACGAGCCGTTTTGACAGCCCTAAGTGGTAGGGCTCAGACTTATTAAATTACATAAATCACATAAAAATATATTAAATTTTACAAAATGTAGATAAATTGCAATATTTACAAAAACGCTGGATTTTTTTTTATTAAATTAATAATAGAACTATAAAAAACGAGCTCTAATCTTTGAAAGAGATATTTTTCTTAATCATCCCTTTTAATCCGAGATTAACTCTCGGAACTTGTACTTAATGTAATTTTTCTAATATTAAGGCTAACATTCCACCATTAGCGCTAAATTACAAGTAATTAAGGGGGTAAATGCTATTTTAACTTGTTAGGGCTTTTGGGATTTGGACTGAGGTTGGGAGCACCATAATCCGGTGCTCAGGTCTCAAGGAATATATATATATATATATTAATGGTAAAGTGTATAATTTATAAAAATATCAATATTTGAAATATGACATATAATCAATATTTGAAATATGTAATTTTTTTTTTAATTTTTGTGAAATATATAATTTTTTTAGCTAGATAATAATACTTTTGATGTCATATGAAAAATTTGGTAGTTGAATATAAAAATGTATAGGTGTTAGAAATGTAAAAACGTAGGAATTCGGTGGTATGTATGTAAATACACCCATTGCACAAGAATAGCAAATTGGAACAAGTCATCTTCCTTAATAGATTGGTCAGAGTCGTCTTTTCGAACTCTAAAATGGGAAAAATTATTCCATACGGATCGGTCACCGCACGCAGCTTGCGTGCCGGTGTCCGATCCAGACCGTAGATCACCTGATCTACGGTCCCGATGTATTTCGGTGGGTCTCACCTAAATTTTTTTTTATATAAAAAAAACCGAAATAATCCTGACCGTAGATCACCGTGATCTACTGCCAGAATCGGACACCGCATGCAGAGATGCATGCGGTGTCTGCACGCAATAATTCCTTCTAAAATGGGCGTCTCTTTAGGGTATTTACATAATTTACTTATATAGCACATAATTTTTATGTATTTACATATCTCATGCCGGAATTTTTGAATTTACGCACATAACGTTCAAATTTCTACTATCATTACTTTTAAAAGTGAAATACACATTTTTATATGAATACGAAATTATAGGACTGAGATATGTAAATACATAAAACTTGTGTGCTATTTATGTAAAATTTTCCTTTTGGGTGCTATTTCTGTAAATATTTATTTTTAATACAAAGTTTATTAAAAATAGCATCATCTTAATTTAAAAAAAAAATGAAATACACTTTTTCATGCATACGTAAAATGAAATGCACGTAAAAACTGAAGTTGAGGTGTAGATATGTAAATATATAGGAATGGAGTGGTATATATGTAAATATTCATAAACGTTATATACAGGTAAACCATACAAAATCACCAATGACAACATGTAAAACAAAGTTTGCATCAGGAATATATTGCTGCAGTACATCAAGTCAATTTACCTGACTAAACATACATCTTCATACATGTCAATACAAGTCAAAAAAATATATATTACAGCTTCCAAAAAAAACTCTCAAACTCTCTTAAAATCTAATAATATGAATGAAATGAGCTACAAACTTGAATAAATAAACAAATAATTTATTTTTAAATAGAAATGATGCAGCAAAAATTTGAGTGTACATAAATCTGTATATAACCTGAAAAATGAAATAAATGAGCTTTTTCCCCTCTATTATGGAGCCAAAATAACCCAAAATGGCTGATAATTGCAGCTTGAAGTCATCCAAATAAGGCTTCTGCTTCTTCCAATTCTTCAGATTTTGGTTTACCTTTCGGCCGACCACATTGCTTAGCGTTCTTGCTATTTAGGAGCTTCACCGCAGCGGCCAATGTTATTGATTTCGGCTTCATACTCTGCAAATATGATTCAAAAAGTGCAATTAAAAAAAAAAAATTAAGTAAAACTAAATAAGTAAACATTAGGGGGCTCCTTGTTAAATTGTAGAGCCTAATATCCATGATTTATGCTCATTTTGATTATTTGTGGGTCATCTTATGCTAGTAGTAGAGAAATTATGGGCGGTAATATGCATCAATCAAATTATTATAGTGAAATCTACAGCATGAGAGACATGATGTAATCATTAATTGGATGGGCCTGTGAAAAAATTCTAATGTTTTTGCATGTTGATTTTTCATTTTTGTTTTTTAAAGATTTCATTTATTTACCCACAGTTCTATTGCATAATGATGAAAAGAGAAGAATATTTAAATAAAATACAAGATATGTACATAACACAAACTATAAAATAACAATCAAATTCATTGTTCATCACAAGAAAAAAAAAAATGTTTCATGCTTTTTTGGTCACATATTCTACTAGTTTTAATCATTAGATATATATCTCAATGAAGCACAACGAGAGCTTTGTATGAATTAAAATTAAATTAAGAATAAACTTCACATTGAAATGAGTTCCTACAAAATACAGTAATAATAAAACCATGAATTATAGGATTTGTGCTGGTTGAAAGTGTTCTCAAAACCATTTGAGTCAAAACCACTGGTTTAGCAATTAACACAAAAGAACACTTCCCCCACCATTATCAACTACTCAATTCTTATATATTTACATATATAACACTTGAACTTTACTTCTTACATTTATATCACCCAAATCATTCATATCACATCAAAAAAATACCACTATTTTAACTTTCAAAAGTGAAATATATCATTTCATGCACAGGTAAGTTCGCATATATGCACAAATTGAAGTAGGTATTAGATATATAAATAGGAATTAAGTGATATGTATGTAAATCTTCCTTAGGAAAAAAAAAATAGAGAGTAAACCTTGGGCACTTGAGACACTGTCCGCCGATGCTTGATTGAGAAGCCAATCCTCGAGTGTTTAAGGAAAATAGGATGCCCATCATCTGGGTGGTTTCCCTGTTTTTCCCCCCAAAAAGAATTATTAATAAAGATTTATTGCCACAAGTAAATCACAGTAAAAAAAATTAAAATTAAAATTAAAATTAATAAAAAAATAATAATAATAAACAAAAAAAAAAAATAATAATAATAGTAATAATAGTAAAAAAAGAAATATTAGTAATAATAGTAATAATAGTAATAATAGTAATGATAATACTAATACTAATAATAATAATAATAATAATAATAATAATAATAGTAGTAGTAGTAGTAGTAATAGTAGTAGTAGTAGTAGCACTATTAGTAATAGTAGTAGTAGTAATAGTAGTATAGTAGTAGCACTATTAGTAGTAATAGTAATAGTAGTAGTAGTAGTAGTAGTAGTACTAATAGTACTAGTAGTAGTAATAGTAGTAGCAGTAGCACTATTAGTAATACTAGTAGTAGTAATAGTAGTAATAATAGTAATAGTAGTAGTAGTAATACTAGTAGTAGTAGTACTATTAGTAGTAATAGTAAAAGTAGTAGTAGTAATATTAATAGTAGTAGTAGTAGTAATATTAATAATAATAGTAATAGTGGTAGTAATAATAGTAGTACTAGTAGTAGTAATAGCAATAGTAGTAGTAGTAGTAGTAATAGTAATAGTAGTAGTAGTAGTAGTAATAGTAGTACTAATAGTAGTAGTACTAGTAATAGTAGTAGTAGTAGCACTATTAGTAATAGTAGTAGTAGTAATAGTAGTAATAATAGTAATAGTAGTAGTAGTAGTAATACTAGTAGTAGTAGTACTAGTAGTAGTAATAGTGAAAGTAGTAGTAGTAATATTAATAGTAATAGTAGTAGTAATATTAATAATAGTAGTAATAGTGGTAGTAATAATAGTAGTACTAGTAATAGTAATAGCAATAGTAGTAGTAGTAGTAATATTAGTAGTAGTAGTAATATTAGTAATAGTAGTAGTAATAGTAGTAGTAATAATAGTAGTAATAGTAGTAATAGTAGTAGTAGTAATAGTAATAGTAGTAGTAGTAATAGTACTAATAATAGTAATAGTAGTAGTAGTGGTAATACTAGTAGTACTATTAGTAGTAATAGTAAAAGTAGTAGTAGTAATATTAATAGAAATAGTAGTAGTAATAGTAGTAGTAGTAGTAATAGTAATAGTAATAGTAGTAGTCGTAATAGTAGTAGTAGTGGTAATAATAATAGTAATATTAATAGTAATAATAGTAATAATAATAATAATAATACATGCTTACCAAATTTATGGGATACTGAAGCAGATCAATAGCATCCTCTAATGTAATAGAGTTAATGTCAGTTCCCTGATAAAAAACTATCAAGAATCAGTTTCTTTATTCAAAGCCAATAATACTCAGAGCAGCAAATAATACAATCAAATGTTTTTTAAATCTCAGTATCAACTTCAGTTCTGTTCTGGGTGATTTGAAGGAGAATCCATTGTTTTTTTCGTATATGAGATGCACATTCTACTAAAATCATTACATAACCACTTCCTATTGGATCAAAGGTTCTAGCAAAGCTATTTTCTAAAAATTTGTGGAGATATGAGATGCAATAGGAGATAAAACATCACATATCCCCTCCAATTTTTATGGATTAAGATTTCTAACCAGCTTTGTTTACAAATACCCATACCATGAAGACTTCTATATGGTGCATTCGGACAAATTGTAGATTGGAATGATTTGTGGTGATTTATGGATTACTTTACATGAAGCATAAAATTATGACTACATTTGCTTAACAAATATCAAATGTTTGATTTTGAGAACAAAATTCTTCAAGCCAAGTAAATTTAATAAAAAATTCAAGGGATTATGCTTGTTGTAAATGTAAGATGAGAGCATTGACATCTGTCGTTCCAAGTCTTCAAATTGCTTTAGCTGTTTTTCTTCTTGGTTCTCTATTAATTAATTTATTGGTGCTATGTATGTAATTATCCCTAATTTATTTCATTATGAATATGCTTATAATGATGAGGCCCCATGAGATTGAGGATATGTTGGTTAAGTTTACTAAAATCTAATTTTTCTTTTGTGGAGCAAATCTAATAATTAAATTGCTTTATTTAACATTATAAACTTTCTTGAAAGCTTTTTATATTTAAAAGCACTTTAAAGTATACTTTGGAGCAATTTATCTATAGTTATAAATTTACATTAAAAGAAAAAAATTTTCACAACCAAGAGTGGTGGTCTAAAATTTTTTTTTTATATATACTTTATTATTTAAGATTTTACACAATAAAAATCCTAGACACACTATACCATTTTTAAGAAAAAAAAATATACATTTAATTTTAAAAACCTACAAAAAACATTCAAAACATTCGACTTTAAATGAGAATAAAATTTTCTTCTTGCCATTCTATCAACTTTCCAATTTTCATCTCTTGTGCAGTTTTAAATATCTACAATGTTTTAGCCCATTGCATCTGAGAATGGCTCCAAACTGTAATATTTATAATAAGAAGTAGCACAATAATATAAAAGGAAACATGCATCAGAGAACAAGATTAATTATTTAAATCACAAAAAATAGCTTATCTATAAAGAAGAAAGTGCCACCACACCTCAGTAACTGAAGACCGTTTTGGCGAACAACCAGTTCTGTCCTCCCCCCGTTGAACATAGTGACCATAAGGACCATTTTTTAAATAAATCTATCAAACCAGAAAGAATGAGGAAGAAATAATAACAGCAGAAAGCAGAAAAAAAAAATGATTTTTTAAGAGAATTGTGAGAAAGAGGATATTAGAAATACAACCTTTTCATTAGAAATGGGACTGTGACCTAACAATTTAGGAGGGAATGACTCTGGTTTTTCAGTATCAATATTCTCTTCATCATCATTGAATAGGGCACCAGCAATAAACCTGCAATCAAGAATTTGTAAGTTCTACTACAGAACATACAATTTTGTGGCAATTTGCAAAAACCAGCACAAGAAGTAATAAGCCGTAAGTTTAAAACTGATCAATTGACAATTCTTTTAGGGTTAAGTTACATAGCTAGCACAAAATTCTTTTCCATTTACACCTCACACCTAAACTTCCATATTTACATATATATAACATTGATGCTTTAAACCTATGCCTGAAAAGGTGTATTTCACTTTGAAACAACGGAGGTAGTGCTATATTTGATTTGATATTAAAGATTTGAGTGCCATGGTGTAAATATGAAAATTTAGATGTGAGATATGTAAAGATATTAGAATTGTGTGTATGTCAATGCCCCTTTTTTTATTGAAAAGCTGATGAAAAGCACTTCTCATTAAGTGGAAGAAATGAGCAAAAGAAGGTTTTATGAATAAAAAATAAAGGGGCGTTTACATACATACCACCCATTTCCTATGCATTGACATATCTAACACCTAAACTATGTTTTTTACATTTATACGACCCAAATCTTTCATATCACATCAAAACACCATTTTAACTTCTAAAAAGTGAAATGCAACTTTTCATGCATAGGTAAGGTGGTCTGTATGTAGAAATTGAAGTTCAGATGTCAGATAAGAAAATACATAGGAATTAAGTAATATATATGCAAATCTTCCAAAAAATAAAAAAAGAAGAAAAACATAATAAGAAAAAAAAAAGTAGTTCAGATCTACAGGCTTTTCTGAAAGATTGTCAGACCGAAGCATAAAATAAATGTGAAAAATAAACAACAGACAATATATATTAAAAACATCTTTTATGATTAACTCTCTATATATGGATAAGAAACAGGTAATAGATGTATCATCCAAAGAAAGAGACAGATATATAAAAAGCTTGAACTTAGATATTAACTAAATGCGGATGGGAAAATTATTACCAAACATTTGGCATAATGAAGCTGGGTAGTAATGTAAGTTTGCGAAGGCTAAGTATGAATTTGATGTCAGGTTGAGGCAGATCTCAATTAATTTTGGAAAATAAAATAGAAAGAATAATTTTCAGATTTAATGCGGAACCTAAATCTGAGATAGATTTAAACGTTGCACGACATAAGAAATATCAAGTGAATAATTTCTATAGTTATGATTAGATGGTTTGATTTAAAATGCTACTTTGGAGTACTATGCGATATTGCGATAAGAGCCTATAGGGATATTTGTAGTCAAATTTTATAAAATAGCAATTATGCTAGTTATCTTGTATGGATCTGAGTGTTGGCAGTAAATAAGTCATCCATAGAAAAGAGGAGTGATAGAAATGAGCATGCTAAAACCTATAAATGATATTAGGATTGATTGATAAAAGATTACATTACAAGCTGTCAAATATAAGCTGATAGAAAATAAATCAGGTGCTTTGCGCATTGCATGATGAAATGTCAAAGACAAATTTTGATTTCCCTTTAAATCTACTTGACTTAGCTTTCAAACACAACTCCCGATTTGAAATTGATTTTTGGTTAGTTTGAGTTGCTTAAATATGCTTTAAAATGTCTCAACATTTGATCTAAAATGAATATTTATATAAAATATATAATGTAAATAACATAACATATGCAATACATAACATGGCGTATTTATATAGTTTAATAAAAAATTCAAATAATTATGAATCAAGTCTGCTAGAATTGAAATGATTTGATTTTCGAGTCTTGTTCAAGTTTGAATTATAATAAAAAAAAAATGTTACTTCAATTTGAAACAAATTTATGGAAGCATACTCAATATTAATGCCACACCCAACCTTTAATCTAGAAGCTGGTGTAAGATAACCAAGAGTTACATTTCCTAATGCACAAATATAATAAATAGGATATTTTCATCTAAAAAAAAAGGATTTATAATTCTATAGTGACCAATTAATTTAAAACTCATCATCTGCAGTGAAAGGGTTTGTTTAGCTCCAATGACAGACAACATTAGAGAGTCATCTTAGATGAATCAAATTTATGGAAACATACTCAATTCCTCGAATGGAACAAGCCACTTATCCTTCATCAGGGTTGACATGGATATAGAATCCCAATCAACCTCTTTTAACAACCTAAAAACTCTAACCTTTAAAGTTCTACAATTCAAATAGCTTATACAAGGGCAATTAATTCATTTAATTATTTCTTTTATATTCCTTAAAATACATCTCTATAACTATAAATACCCCCATATATTGCAGTCAATTTTATATAAAAATGAGCTTGGTATTTTGCCAGAAGATCTTTTCATCCTTCTAATTAAAATAAATCTTTTTACATCTTTCTGAGCAACCAAGTGTACATTTTAAATCAAAAATTATGTGTCCATAATTGCAAGATTATATGCTAATATTAATTCTATATAATCATTTTATTCTTGAGATATTTTTTAAAGACTCCTATGGCATCCATTTCATAATTCAAGCTGAAGCGCTATTCTCCGAATATCAAATAGCAAAAAAAAAACATAAAATTTTACAAATTTCATTAGCAAACAAAATTATCAAAAGCTTAAATTCAGCAATCTAGAGAATGGCTTTAAAGGGAATGCTAAAACTAGTCTTTTAAAATGAAGACTGCATAATGGATGCTACACTAAATTATTCGACAATAATTCACACATGCAACAATTTTAGAAAAAAGGGGCATTTACATACATACCATACCACCCAATTCCTATGTATTTACATAACTTACACGTAAGCTTTATTTTTTTAGATTTATACAGCCCAAATCTCTTATATCACATCAAAAATATCATCCTTTTAACTTTTAAAAAGTGAAATAAAGCTTTTTATCATTGATAAGGAAGCAATTATGTAAAAATTTAAAGTTTAAGTGTTAAATATGTAAATACATAAGAATTGAGTGGTATATATGTAAATCTTCCAAAAAGATTTCAAAAAGATGCAAGATATCAAATAGCTTGCAATTACACGATTTAATCATCAAACTGATACGGTTAAGAAAAGAAATGCAATAAAGTCACAATTTTCTCAACAAACTTGCAAAAATTTTAAAACACCAATCATATTAAAAATTATTTTCATGACTTACTTGCATCTGGGGTGCTGATCACAGCCAATAAAATAGCCAGACCCAAATCTGCTAACTTTAAATCTCAATGTCCCTTCTTCACAGCTGCATAAATTACAAGAATAAAAAAGTTATCTTCATGCTTAAGAATTGAAAGGCAAAAACTACTCAGATTCCAAGAAGGCATAAAGACTCATTTAATAATAAAGCATCTCTGATAAACCTTAACCTAATTTACCAATGTGTTGAACAATAAATTATAGATCTCATCATAATTCTCAGTATTATTCAAAACAAATCAAGTTCACCTAAGCCCTGGGTGACTCAAGGAAAGGTCAGGGTACTTAGCACACCTCCGATGTCCAAAATGTGTAGGATTGTTAATGTATTCATAGGGGAGCAAATCGTTATGGAGACCAAGTAGTAAGAAGGATACTTATTTCCTTAATTGAAGAGATTAGTGCAAATACCTCAAACTCAAAATATGAGTTAATTTTTCATAATGATAATCTAATATTATTTATGCTAAAAGGGCATTGAAATTTGGAAAAATAAGAAGGTGCTCTGCAAAATAAATTTGACAAAATATAGGTACAAAAACTTTTAGGTTTAAGAGTAGAAAATCTTGAAGATGTAGAATATGAGTATGACAAAATTGGTGAAGTAACGCAGATTAGGAACTCTCTAAGATATACATGCTATGACTTAGGCTTTGTTTGGGAGAACTTCTCCTTTCATAAAATTTCCTTAAAAAGGAACTTCACAAAATAAACCATGGCATAAAGTTGGGATTGATAGAATCGATACTAGTGTTTGGAAAAAAAAAATCGAGTATGCTTTTTAATATCAAAACTTTGCTTATTAGTGTTGGCTAATATAACTTTTAAATGTAAAACACACAAATATCCATTGTGAAGCAGCTGAAATACAAAAATCCACTCGCCACGCTCTTTCTCCATTTTGACGATGATAAGGGAGAAGGTTGTAGCATTGGTCTGCTAAATAAAAAAAGTGGAAGCCGAAGTAGGAAGGATTGTTCCGGGGCGTGTTGAGGTGGCAACAATGAAAGTGTTGGCAAATTTGAAGGTATCTCTTTGGGTAATTTGGATGTACATTCTGTTAATAATTTTGGTATACATTCTTATACAAAAAATTAATCAAAATACTCGGAGCCGTAAATGTGCACTAAACATTTGCATCATAAATCATTTTCATCATCTCTCCTCCGCCTCCTCCATCTATCTTCCCCCTAAAATGACGTCGTTGAAACCATTTGTGTTAGAATACCCATTATAAGCTGATCCATAAAAGCATAACTCCCCATCTGCAGGGTCGGAGGAAGTGGACAGTTTATCGGCATCGGCATCCTCGCCGGCAACTGTGGCATTATCGCCTCCTTCAACACTGCCATGACCTGCCTCACCGTCGATCTCATTGCACTATCAGCATGGGTGCATCATAGCCCCACCGCGATCAACTGCCCATCTCCTCATGAAACTCTTCCCTCAATCGCCCGTTGGAGGCCTCCATTGCTGGGTTTGATATCGTCGTGGATGACACAGACATCCCATTCTTCGTGGAGGTATAGATGGCGCTTGCAAGGCCAAGGGAAATTTTGTATCTACGATCCAATCGTTTTGAGGGTAATTTGGACCTTTGGCTTTCTATAACATTGAAACGGTGATCCTAAAAGCGGAACGGAGGACCGATCTCGTGATCCCAAAATGGCGAACATCTTCGTTTGGGTAGAAGCACTTATTGGAGAAATCGATCGCCCAAACAAATAGCGAACATTTTTCTCGATTTTTTCTGAAACGGAAAGCAGGTGAGCCGCGGTATCAAACAAGGCCTTAAGAAGATTACTGTATTTTTTAAAATAATTTATATATTGAAAGTTTTAAAAAGAAGAAAATTCAAGGTTTTTCCTCAGTTATATTCACCACAAAAAAAAAAAAAATTCATAAAAGCAATATAGTTTTAATATAGTTTTTATTTATTTTTTATTTTTTTTAGTTCCTTCAATGGGGCAAGCATATAGGATGGCACCTAATGCCTTCGGTTTAGTCAGCCATGTCGCATTGAGAGTAACTTGCTCCTACAAGAAAATTGGCAACAGCCTTATTTATAGATTTATTCATATCCAATGTTTGGTTCATATAACATACTTATCTTCATTATATATCCTAGTTTTCTTTATGTTTCTGTGATTTGTTTATAAATCTTGATCATATCCAATGTTTGGTTCATTTAACATATCTTCATTATATATCCTAGTTTTCTTTATGTCTCCGTGATTTGTTTATAAATCTTGATCAACCATATAAGATAATGGATCCTTTCGAGGCATTCCGCCAATAATACTCGACATCTCCAAAATGTTTGTGTGAGTGTTTCATATATTACATCCATGTTATGGTCATTTTACACTTAATTGTCTCATGGTTTTTCTCAATTATTCTAACTACTCATTCACAACACAACTAAAATTCACAAATCTATGTACTTTTTTTAATATCAATGGAAAGGCTATAAAAGAAAATTTTATTTACAATTCAACTTATAATAATGTCCATTACCTACCAAACATAGGGACTTAATGCATGATGTAACCCTCATAACTTCAAAAAAAAAAAAACAAAAAAAAAAAAAAAAAAAAAAAAACTGCATTTTTGTTCCATGAACCGCAACAAGATGAGCACAATTATAGAAAAAGAAAGTGGCATTTACATACGTACCACCCAGTTCATATGTATTTACATATCTAACACTTAAACCTTACTTTTTTACATTTATACCACCCAAATCTTTCTAATCACATCAAAAATACCTCCATTTTAACTTTTAAATAGTAAAATACATTTCTTCATGCATATGTAATGTGGCATGTATGTAAAAAGTAAATTTTAGGTGTTAGATATTTCAATACATAGGAATTGGTGGTCTGTATGTAAATCTTCCAAAAAGAAATGCCTAACTCATAAATACCTTGGGCATAATCTGCTATCATTAGGAATCGAAGCGAATAATATGTGGCCAAATTTTTCCTCCAACATTTTCTCAACCTATAGAGTAACAAAAAAAATACTACATTTCTTAGAAATCCACTAATATATCGGACGAGAGAAGGAATAGGTAGAGATTCATATAGCCAACAAATAATAATTACTTGATGAATGTGAGCATTGCTTGCTAGGTTGCAATATTCAATAAACCGTGTCCAATAATCTCTCAAAAGTCCCTTCCATTCAGTTGTACCGGCAGAAACATTATCAAGCTGATGAAGAAAATGAAAAAAAAAAATCAAAATAAGACATGACAATAGGTAATTCAATTATTTCATGGAGATAATATTCAGCATTTCGAAAATAAATAAGAATTTTTGCACTCTTAGTTCAAATCAAAATACTCAAATTCGTAAGTATATACCTCAGTCTCCATATCAGCGGTAAAACTATAATTAGTAACTTCTGAAAAATGATGGGAAAGGAATTCTGAGACCTGCCAATAACATAAGAAACCAATTAAAAAGAGATAAATAAGAAAATTAACACCTAACCTAAAGTGATACGTCCCAAAATTCTATGTTGAATTAAGTATTAACGAAACTTAAAGAAAATATGATAGAAAAAAGAAATGTTTTAAAAATTCAAAGGTCGAACTTAAAAGTATATTTACACCACTGAAATAGAAGAGCAATTTAGTAATTAAGTATTTTGTTAAAGAGCAATTTCTTAAGTCCCCAAATGTTTTTTTTCCTTTTTTTTTTTTTTTGAAAAAAAAAAGAACCCAAGGATGAACTACTTACCATTCTACCACGAAATTCAGGATGAAGAACTCGATTTTTCATTGTCATATAGCTTCTATCCTGGGAACAGCCAATTCAATCAAAATATTGTATAAAGCATAGTTTCAATCTAATAAATTCAAAAAAACCAAAGAAAAATAATTAAAATGACAGATTCAAACGCTTGTAAAACAAAATATTATAAAGGATATGTTTTCATTCAAACTATTAAACATCATATGAGAGAATAAATGAAATGAGAAAACCAAGCACAAGAAGATATATGCATTATTATATAAAATTGCAGAGCCTAATAAGACTTGGCAAGCTGTATTTCATGTCCTCAGTAAAAAAACTAAATTGATCCAATGAATAAAGTTTTAGTAATCGGGATGAGAGCCAAATATACAATTAGAAATTGATTCTGAGCTTGGTTTTTAGCCACCTGTCACCTCCCAAAAGAGCCCTTATGGGTGGTGGGCAGCCCAGGACTTAAATACTGCTTTTCGGCCCTACACCTAGCTGATGTGGGACTATTTGTCCGTGACATTCTCCTCCACCCAATCACGTGACTCCCCCTGGACCATGGAGAGTCCCCACACC